GGCCGGCGTCGCCGGGAACACATGACTGCCGGTGGTCCCTCTTCTCGCCACCTTGGCTGCCCCCGATGCTGCCCCTTCCGCCACGAGAGCCGGCTGCCCGGCCGTGTGGTACCGCTCTTGCCGCGAGTGCTTGCACCCCGGCCGTCCCGACGCCCGACGTCGCAGGGAACACATGAGTGCCGGTGGTCCCCCCTCTCGCCGCCGGTGCTGCTGCCGATGCTGCCGCTCCCGCCCGCCACGAGTGCCTGCAGCCCAGCGGTATGGTACCGCTTTAGCCCCGAGTGCCTGCATCTCGACCGTCCCGACGCCCGACGTCGCAGGGAGCACATGACTGCCGGTGGTCCCCCCTCTTACCACAGGTGCTGCCGCCGATGCTGCCGTTCCCGCCACGAGTGCGGCCCGGCCGTTTCCCCCTCCACCGCCACGGGAAAACCTTGCCGCCGCGGGTCACCACTCTCGCCGACGGTGCTGTTACCGATGGTACCGTTTTAGCCGCGAGTGCCTGCACCCCGGCCGTCCCGACGCCCGGCGTCGCCGGGAACACATGACTGCAGGTGGTCCCCCAGCTCGCCGCCGGTGCTGCTGCCGATGCTGCCGCTCCCGCCACGAGTGCCTGCGGCCCAGCCGTCTCCCCCGCCGTCGCCGGGGGGAAAACCATGCCGCCGGTGGTCATCACTCTCGCCGACGGTGCTGCTACCGATGGTACCGCTCTAGTCGCGAGTGCTTGCACCCCGCCCGTCCCGACGCCCGGCGCGTGACTGCCGGTGGTCTCCCCTCTCGCCGCCGGTGCCGCTGCCGATGCTGCCGCTCCCGCCACGAGTGCCTGCTGCCGGTCGTCTCCCCCCGCCGCCGCGTGGGAAGCCGTGCCGCCGGTGGTCGCCACTCTCGTCCCTGATACTGCTACCGATGGTGCCGCTCCCTCCGCGAGTGCCTGCGCACCGGCCGTCTCCCTCTGTCAGCCCATCGGGGAGAACTACTTGAGGCGTTTTTTCGTGCGATTCTCGAAGTGTGGTACTCGCGAGAGCTTTTTAGCTATATTTCGCTTTCACCCGCAAATTAAATATTGTAATTTTTCACCCCATGGGGATTCGAACTCACGACCTCTGCGACTAGCGGATTACGAGGATACCACTAGACCACCGGGGCGACCGGTCATCTACTGCTGTGTGTGGTACACACGCAGGCAATTGCCAACCATGGGACTTGTTCCTTACATAAAGTCGACTGCCAACTGCCACCTTTGGACTACTACTGCAGACTAAGTCTAGATACATACGCAATTCGACTGCCAACCATGGTGGGTGTACAGGTAATACGCCTTGACTTCCCGTCAGTCTTGTCGCAACACACCCAAGACTTACGGGATCATGTACGCCCGGCTTATCGCCTTCGCGGCTCTCCTTTTTTTCTTGTTCGCGTTGAGTTTGGCAATGAAGAGGAAAACTCCTCCTCACAAAGCACTGCCGGCACGAAAAAATGATTCGTCCACCCCAGCAGCGACCCACTTCTTTCCTTTTCGTTTAACTTCTTCTTCATCACCGCGAACAACAATAACACCATCCATCCTCGACACCCACATAGATAGATAGATATACCCTCCCTGGCCAAAAAGAAAGGGCTTGAGATGAGGCCGGGGCTACCCTCGGGCTGTTATTAGTCTAGGCATCGGAACACAAAAGCCGACTGACTGGATTTCTTTTCGAAAAATCGAGAAGATTTAGTACGTATTGGAATCTGCGGCTTGTGGAGGCGTGTTGTAATTCGGAAAAGCGAGGATCGAAGATAAATAGATACAGCCCTGGTGTCAGAAATTTTTTGTGCTCTCGCTGGGCGAGAGACAAGCAAGTGCATTTGAGAGAATGAGAGGAGTAGCAGAGATAGCAGCTTTGAGGAGCAGCAAACACGGATTGCCGCCTAGGATTTGATCGATTTTCCCGCCCACCCACACCTATCCCTCAAGAGAGGGGGGAGCATGGGGGGGTCTAGTCGGTTTATTATGAGTAAGATGTGCTTAGGCCAAAGGCCGAAACAATAGTAGACTAGAAATGATAGTAGGGCAATCTTGGGAAGTTTGCAACGGGTTAAGTCCGATAAAAAAACGTTGGGAGCAAGAAGACGGCATTTTACCTGCGCTCTCAATTTGTTTCATGTGTCTTGGTTTTTCTTTGGTTGCCTGCAGAAAAAATAATCCAGAATTCTTGAGCAAACATAAACTAGCTAGTGCGCGACACAGCAAGAAAGATCAAGGAAGGGTCAGGCATCCTTCCGAAAACGCCCGACCGAGGAGATGATGATGCTCCCGGGGAGATAGATGAAGAGACCACATCATCACCATCCCCCTCCTGACCGTTCAATTTCTAGAAAAAGGGCGTGGCGGGAAGTGGGGAAGTTGTTCATATTATTCCATTCGCGGCGACCGCAATTCTCCTTCCCGCTACATACGAGAAAATAAGAGACATTAGGCGTCACCGCCACGCGCACGCCGCTCGCTGTGGGACACAAGGGGAAAAACAAGAACAATCGTCGAATATTTTTCAGTTGGTGGGAACAGAAAACACAGAACGCCGATAACCGTGATTCTCACGTCGTCCCTCTCGTGGTATGTGAGTGGAGGTTAGACTCTTTTCGTGCCGGCGATTACCCTTACTCTGCAATGTATCCACAACATGTCGGGAGAAGGACGCCGTATCCCCACAAGTGCATCGCCGAACCAATGGTATATGACTGCTGTTATTGTCATACTCCCATTGCCCCGAACCCAACGCCTGTCTAGAAATCGAGAAATGTTTTTGGTGCCCTCTCGGAAATTTATTCGGACCGTTCTTCGTAAAAAATAATCAATTGATTCGGGTCGTTCGCTTCGCGATCCACCCACCTCGGCTCACTCCCACACTTCACCCTCCACAACCCTCCACCACACGCCAACACCACCGCAAGGCACCTCCCTCCATCGAAGAACCAGCAGCCCAACCCTCCCATATATATCTCAGCCACCCGAAACACAGCAAACATGGTGTTCTCGGTCCGCGTAGCTCTGGTGGTGATGCTGGTGGCTCTTGCTTCCCTTAGCGGCACGGGTGCGGAGCGGTTGGGGCAGGGCTCTCGTTACCTTCAGGAGGAGACGATCACGCCGTCTGCTTCCCCGACGACTCCGGCTCCCTCCTCCTCGATCGACTTCGAGACGATGGCGCCTTCGAGTGCGCCGACGGCTACCGACCGTGACCTTGAGACCGAGGCGCCCGTTACGAACTCGGCCTCCACGGCCGCGGGTGCGTCCTTCGCGGCCGTCGTTGCTGGCGTCGCGTTGGCTGTGATGATGGCGTAAAAGGAACAATAGGAGGTGAGAGTCGGGTCTCGTTGAGGGCGCCCCCAGTGTTTTCTGTCCCCCGTTGTGTGTCTTGTGTAGTGTCTGATCTGCTTGCTGTTTGTGGGAGAGAGAGGGCCTTCCGGGTAACGCGCGCGGAGCTGTAGGATCGTCGTCCGGCAGCTAAAAAAACTCAAGTATCATCTTCTCGTCTCTCTCCCTTCTCTCTTGCCTCCCAAGTTGTGATAGCCTATTTCGGATCTGAACTTCTCGCACCGATTCCTCTCTTCCGCGTTCAACAGGGATGTCTACGGCTGTCGCTGCGGCTGCTGTGCTGCTGCCTGGGGGGCACTGTCTTTTTTCCAGAGGCGGTGGAGATACGAGATACGTGCACAAATCCTCGACAAGGCGGGATCCAGGATCCAGCGCAGCGGGTCACCGCTTCGTCGCCGAGATCTCGATATCCTTGTGGCGGGATCAAGAACACTCCCCTGTCCCGCTAGTTGACGATCCTCAAACGATATGTCGAGCGCGATTGCGGTGAGCAATCAAAGCGGACCAGACGGTCAGCAACAGAGAGCCTGTGTCGGTCCTCATGTAGCTGTTTATTTAAGCTGTGCTTTGTTCGGTATGGAGAGTTTTTTCTCGCGATGATTTTTTGTGTACGGTGTAGCGTGGTTTTGACGTCACGCCTCCTCCTTGTCGGCTGACGACACAAAAAAGAAATAGTCTTCGCGCGAAATTTGCGTGTTGGAGATGCGCTCGTGTCTGGTTCTTTCCTTGGGAAGAACGCTGTCGTTGTATTGTGTGCTTGTTCGGAGAGGATTCGCGTGCGTATGTCAAGTGGGTGAAGACGTTGCATGTGATCGTGGGCATTCCTCCCCCTCAATTAAATACTTGAGAGTCGGATTTGGGGTCTTGGCTCATCCTCCTTCGCCAATTTTTCCAGTGTTGTATCCATGTGAAGTACATACATGTACGTATGCGAGATTCATGGTGTGTTGCTTCGTCGTATCGTCTTCGGTCCCAACGCCAGTAGGCGTCTTCAGAAGTCAGTTTTGGGCTAACGTGGCCAGGCCACGTCACAACTACAACTACAGTGTGTATCTCGGCGCTTGCGTACACTGTTGTTGTTCATGAAGTCGAACTACTGCTGTTAGATGTGTAGCGCGAAGATACGGTTGTGAAGAGTGAGGCGTTCGGGCGAGTTGAAAGGGAGGGCGGCAGCCAGAAGATTTGCCTTTGCTATTTCTATTGTGTGTTCTGCCCGTGCATTTGCACGTTGGGCGTTGGCATTGCAAGCCCTTGTCAGGTGGTGTTGTTATTTGTTCGGATCGGCAGAGGGAACGAGGTGACTTGCCTCTGCTTATTGCTCTTATTTTTTGCTCTTCTGGTGCCTGCACTGAGCCGGGGCCGGCGGTAAGTTATGTTGAATAATACCACCGCATGTACGATAGGCAGGGCTGCAAGGTTGCTCTGCTTCAGCAGGCGCAAAAAAATGAAGCAGACTCCATCAATGTGCAGTAGTACGGGTCTTCCATCTGTCTCTACGGCTGCTTCGTACACGGGGCGTACACAACGCTTTTTTTCCGATCGTTGAGAAAGGTCTGATGATTTCAGAAATAGGAAGTGCATTGATTGCGTGTTGTTGATTGAATATACTATAGCTGCTGCTGAATCTGACGGCTGTCTGAAAGGTTTGACATCCCGCAGGTAGCGCTGCCAACAGGGTCGCGCTCGGCGGTCAACTCATCATCATATACATCCGTGTGATTTGACGTGTTTCTTGTTCGCTCCACAAGAGTACGGCGGGTGTTGCCTTGTGCGTCCCGTTGTGACTTGACTTGTTTTTCATGTTTCCACGTGTAGTGTGTGCGTGTGCGGGGGCAGAAGTAGGACAAGGACCGGAAGGGAGACTTGGCCCTCGGGAGATACGATATGCATGAAATATGCATTTGCGTTTGCACGAGGAGTGTTTTTTGTTATTTTCCCGTTGTTGCGAAATCGTTTGGGTTTGAGTTTGCTTTTCCTCGGCCTTTTTGCTTGCGTGCGTACGTAGACGCAGCAGAGAGAAGGGGGAGAGAAATAATACCACGTGAAAATAATTTTTATCGCAACATTTTTGGATGGCATATTCTTTATCGGCAAGCAGCATAGATCACGGACAAATTGATCGACGATTGAACCGCGTCGGTTTCTGCCATGAGCTACCGTACCTATCTCCGCTTTGAGCCATGCTTGGCCAAACGGCCGTTCAAGCCCGTTTGAGCGAGTGCCGGGGGAGGCGTAAGCCCCTATCGACAGGAGGGTCCATAGATGTTTTGCCGGCATCATTTCGTGGCACACATAGGCGTGTCAACCGTATGTGTGACGCCGCACCCGGTTGATCATTATTTGTTGCTCAACTCATATCGACCTTCATGTTGCTTGCTGGCCTAAATTGGTTTTGAAACTCTTGGAGCTCACAGAATTCACAGATGACCATCTATGAAGAACTCGAGAGTTTTCTCTTTTCTTCTCAACATGTAGACACTCTAGATCTAGACCTACTACTCACAACTACCTTGTAGTCCTGTCAGTTTCCCTGAAGAGGAGGTACTGACGCTAACGCAGGCCAAGGTGAGAGTTTCTTCCGTAGGTCGGTACCGTGCTTGCGAGGCTCTTGTCTACCCCCTTATTTTGTAGATGACCTACTTCTCCTGAAAGCTTGGATTTATATTTCTGCCCAAAAGTAGGATTCCTCCGCTGTCCTAAGTACACCCATGGGCAGGCGCTTGTCATCATCCCTCAACAACACAAGCGAGAGTCGCCGTCGCATCCGGACGCATTTTCCGCAAGCTGTGCTGGATTAAATCCGCATGCCTCGCTTGGAACAGGAACCCAACGGAACCCAACGCGCTCCTTGGTTGCCAATGCCAACCAAGGAAACGTGCTCTCTCGGTCAGACAACTTCGCTTCCCACGATCGAGCAAGTACTTCGGCACGTAATTCTCTTACGGTGCAATCAATCCCTGCAGCACGTTTGCGTGCTCACAACTGAACTACACGCCCACACGCTACAATTCGACTACAGCAGCAGCATCACCCCCCTTGTCCCGCATTTAACCAAAATGAATGTTGGTCGACTACAGCGTACTGCTGTCTGAAGTGCTGTCTGTACAATAATAACACCATTGTGCATGGTACACAAGCTCGGGGCATGCAGCTGCTGTCTGAAGTGCTGTCAGAATGAGTCCGTGGACATACAATTAATAAGAACACCCAACCAAAGCCATCATTGCAACTGACAATCACCCGAATCTATCCAGATCATCTGTGTTAGGCACAGCAGTGTAAACATCGACAGTGACTAAGAATCGTTCCACATTGAAGGGGTCTTCAACGATGCAGGTACACAATTAAAGCACCCGGGTTATCCGCGCCATCTCTGCCGCGTCTCTCTACAAAACCAGTGACGTCGTCATACACACCCAACACCTGTACTCAGGAAAAAACGAAAAAAAAAATGACAACACAAGAGATACGTCTGCTAAGCGACGAATCCCGATGGCAAACACCGAGGGGGGGGGGGGGGGG